ATAAAGGCACCAACATAATTTACTACTTTATTGCGTCGTGATAATGATATTATTCATGATAATAATAATCAAGGTACATATACATATACATAAACTATATATTGTATAATAGCGGGTGATTTCTTTGTAATTCTCTCTGAGTTTTCTTGTTGCCTATTTTTGACACTTCATGCACAAGTGATTTCTCATACTATAGTTTTTAATATCAAGTCAGTTTAATTTTAATATTAAGACAGTTTAACTTTACTATTTCACTATGAAGAGAGTAGTGTTTCAATAATAATTTCAAAACCGTTGACATACCGCTCAAATTATATGATTTGACAACTTTTGGAGTTTTTTTTTTTGTCGAGCAGTTCATGAAATCACTTCCTTATCTCGACTATTCTGTCTAGACTTTAGCATTATTTATTAATATTGAAATCCTTTAACTTTTGTGATATTCCGGAACGAAATTTGCGCAATTTTCAAATTTCGCAATTAAAATATATCCTTCAAAATTTTCGAATGGCAATCACTGATTAAAATCAAATTTTTAAAAAAATCATCCATTTTACAATATATAAACATACATTAAACATACATATATGTGTTTATTATTATTTAAGTATATAGATTTATATATATATATATATATATCCGTTGTTCTCGCATAATAGTGTTTTTGTTGCATCAAGGTAATGAAGTTAAGTTATTGTTAAATAGTGGCGTGTATTTTTCTGTTTTTAAAGTTTGATGTACTGGAAAAATACGTGTAAAATCCAATTTATATACATATATAAAAATATCTGTTATACTCCAATTTGATATACATATATATATATATATATATATATATATATATATATATATATATATATATATATATATATATATATATATAATGTGATATTATGTAGAAAGTTTTACAATGTATCCTTATGTCTTTGAATTTTTTATTACTATAAAAATAAAATTTTGTTTTTTTTTTCTTCTTTGTTTTGTTTTTTCTTACTTATTGAAATAAATTAGATTGTTCTTTTTTTTTTTTTTTTTATTTTCCATTCCCTTTGTTCATGGTTATTTCTGTTTTCCTTTTATTTTCCATAAGATAAAGAGAAATGAAATTATATTAAGTGAATACAGTAATACTCTGGTTTAAGGAATACGGAAAATTCTAGAAGGAATTCATAAAATTTGGTATTCCTAAAATATGGAAACTCCTAAATTAACCACATGATTTTAAAATCTTAATTATATTTCAATTTCTTTAACTTATTATAGTAGAATGAATTACATATAGTACATAGTTGCAATTCAAGAAAACCATTATATAACTAGTATTTCAGGAAATTATTTTGAATTAAAAATTTTGCTATTTATAGAATATTAGTTGTACATTTCGAAAAAAATAAATAAATAACTCGTAATAATCCACAAAAGAAATTCAGATAATGTATTCTATTATTAGAAATTAGATTGTTTTAATTATAATATACAAAAGATTATTGTGCATAATTTCATTCCATTAACGTATGTTTTATTTCAGATTCCAGTTAACCTACAGTACAGAACAGCGTAGATAAGAAGACAGTCATTCTGCTAAAAAAATATTTTCTTGCATGTATTCAATATAGAAAAATTCATTTTTGTTTGTTTATAAAGCATTGTAGGAGAGTAAATGCAGGAAGGTACCTTATTGTATATGCATAATTGGAAAATGAAATTGAATAGATATAAGGACACGTATAATTCTTGTCAACATATACCTGATCGTGCATCTCGCTATTTTACCCGCCAAGTGAGAAAAAAGTGAGTAAATTTCATATATTTGTATAATGTAATTTTTGAGTGAAAAGAATTATTCCGTATTGCGTATCTTGTTCTGTTCTAAAATGTATATAAAATTTATTCAATTTGTTTTTGTAGATTAGACGTAATTCAATCGATAATTTGAGAAAAATTCTAAAATGCAATTTAAATGAAATGATTGAAAAAATGAAATATCCATTAGAAAAACGAAGAATTCTGATTTAAATAAAAAGTGAGAAAAAAAAGCGAGATACACAAATAGGCTGATAGTATACCGGGGTATTACTGTTATACTGGTATGTATATGATTTTTATAATAGCATATAATCAGATTTTTTATAATAATAATAAGGTGGATTACGTGTATATAATAGTTATGAAGTGATTTAATTGATTATATGTTGCAGAAAATTAAATAAATTGATTGTTTTTATTATTCTTAATTAGATTAAAAATAAATTTTTAACATTTCAAATATTATTGTTCTTTTTTTTACATTTTATTATTTTCTTTTCCGAGTAATAAAAAATGGCAATCATTAATAACAATTTTACTAAAAATAATCCTTTAAAATAGTTAATATAGTAAAGTTACTAGGGTAATAAAAAAAAATAAAAAAAAATCTGGAACTTTTTTTGTTTTCGTTTTTTAAATTAAAAATAAATTTTCAATTGAATTAAAAAAAATTTTATAGATTTAAGTATGGCATTTTAAATATTGTGTTAATTGACGTCATTTTAATAATTAATGAATTTTATATGAAAATAAAATAATGCAATTATAAAGAATTTGATTTTAATGAGGAAGATGCGAGAAATTGTTTACTAATTAATATAAATTTTAAATTATTTATTTGACATATGATAATTGGAGTAGTGGATTCTCTGAGCAGTCTTATAATTTTGAAAAAAAAATCAATATTCATCTCACCATACAAACTATAAAAATTATAGATATTTTGCAAGAAACACCAAATAATGCAGCTTTTCTTTGGATATCAGGACATTGTTACATTAAAGCAAATGAAATAGTTGATAAATTAGCCAAAAAGTGCTTTATTAAAAAATTCTGACTCAGAATTTCAAAAATTTATCATTATGACATGGAATTTTTTATTAACAAAATAATATGAGATCAAAAAGAATTAGAATGGGCTAACATATAAATTATAACTTTTAACTAAAAACTATCAAATTTAACATAAAGCTTTGAGAAAGAACTAATTTGCTCGCAAAAAGAAATTTAAGAATTATAACCGGACTTTAAATTGAACATAGTTAATTTACGCACAGTTTCAGTACGGATATCACAGAATTGACGCGGTCAAATCACAGAGTTGACGAATTTGTTATAGTTGAATATTAGACAGACTTTAAGTTGCCGTATTGTCATGTTAATTATTACAATATTTCAGTACTGTGTTTTCAATTAGTTTATGAGTTATCGTTGAAACGGACGGACAAACGGACAGACAAAGCTAAATCGATTCAGAATTCCATTAGGCCATTATTTCTTAGCGTTAAAAGCGGTACGGAAGATTTAGTATGCCATTATAACAATAATCTAAAGAAAAGGAAAAATATTTTATTCAACTCGCTTTAAATTCGTTTATAATATTTTTGATTATTTAGGCATATTCATTAGAATTTGCTGATTATTCTAAAAAAAATCTGGAAAATTGATTATTTTTTTTCTTTTTCCCACTAAAATCATAACGATTAAAATATTTATTGAATTTAATTTAATTAAATTAATCGTGAATTTTTTATTATGAAATTTTTTTAAACTATTAATTTTAATAATTATAAAAAAAAAAATTTAAAAATTTTATGGAATTTTTTTTTCAATTACAAAATTTAATTGATTAATTGTCAAAACATTGATTGTGATTCAATTTCAATTTGAAAGGAATTTAATTCTCTTCTAAGAAAAAACAAATTAATTCAAAAATAATAAAATTAATAACTACATAAATTAAATAAATTGAATCATTAATTTTGAAAAAAGAAAATTAATTTTGAATTAAAATAAAAATTGAATTTTTTTCTATATTTTTAGGTAAAATCTATCTGTTCGTAAACTGTTATACAAAATTTTGTAACAAATATATGCGAGTAAAGAAAAGCTGACAAAAGTCTTATAATATTATCACCTATATCGTTCAATGTAAATTGTTTCGAAAACTTGAATTTCTGGCAATATTATCAGATGAGGTAAATAGATACGAAAATCTATCATTTTGAACTTTAATTGAATATATATACAAAAGCTCTATACTTACAAAAACCAGGGGTATGTGTGAAGCAGTGTGGTAATTAACACATAACACATAAAATCATTGATTCGGTGCGTGTATCACAGAATTGACCCGGTCAACTTGTTTTTTCTTTTTGAAAATTCAAAATCTATATACATATATGTATTTGTTCGTGTGTGTACTATTGTACACACATTTGCAGTATGGATACATTATTTATTAAAACTCGTATTTTTAATGAATCTCAATAAAAATTATGGGTATAAAATTACGGAAATTTAAATTCTTATTAAAATTGAAAACAGACGGGTTAAAATATTAAAAAAGAAAACAACAAAATCATTGCTTAAATTTCTGTTTCACTCACAATCTCTTACTTCTCGTCTTCTGCATACGATAAAGCTTTATGTAATCAAAAAAATTTATTTTTTGACTTTATTTACGAGTTTAAGGTACGTAATAAAAAAGCATAAAGTCCTTATCGTTTTTTGCATGTGGAAAATTTTTTGAAAACTTTATGAATTTTTCGACTTTTTTTTTTATGGTTTTGTTTTTTCGTAGTGTGTGTGTGTTCCGACTAGTGTTTGATATTTCGTATAAGTGTGTGTGTACGTAAGTCATGTAAGAATACTTCAATCCAGAATTAAAAAAAAAATTTAATTGCCATCGCTATATACGCATATGGGATTAGGGAAAGTGTTTCGTCACGATTTTTAAATTTTTTTTTTTATTTTTCGGGAAAATACGAAAACGAGAATATTTTTAATTCCTTTAAATAGAAATTATGACTAGAATTTTTATTTTGATATAAAAAAAAAAATTATGATTTTTTTAAATTATACTTCATTTTAATGTAAGACCCCTCACTCTATCTCTTTCTCACCATCTTTAATTTTTAGCTCGTCTTATATTATAATAAATATAGTGATTTAAATATAAAATACATACTTACTCTTATTTTTCTTACAGTCTTTTTACTTTCATTTTTAATATTTACTGTAACGATAACATTTTCACCATGTGTATACCAAGATTTATTTAGGCTCGCACGAAGGCATACTCTACCTTCTTGTAATAAAAATGGTTTATCTACAGCTCCCTGTGGACCACAACTTTCAGGCTGCCACACAGAAAATATAATATAAAAATAAAGAAAAGAGAAAACGCATATTATTATATCTAATATAAAAAAGAGAGGAAAATGTGAGTACAAAATAATAACAAAAAAAAAATACGGAATATATTTTTAACATGAATAGCGACAATAACTTTAACATTATTATGAGGTCTTCAAAAAAAAATATAGAAAAAAAACAAACAAAAAGAACCAGAAAACAAAAACCACAAAACAAAAAAAATTATACTCATAAAATATAAAATAAATATGAGAAACATCAAAGAGAGCTCCTAAATTTCTACGGATTTTATTCCATTTTTTCTCTTCATTATTATTTTTTTTTTTTGCTTTACGCTCATAATATGAGCATATAAAAATATGATCATAAAATATGGCATATAATTTTGATTTTATAGGGTGTTTTATGATTTTAATTATTTTCTAATATAATTTTCAATCTATAAAAAAAAAGGATAAAATGTATACGACTTAATATAATGTGATAAGATCTCTAATTAGGAATTGTGACAAGATTGTGGAAGATATGAATTTATATGTATGTATGTAATTTTACCGTATTTTTATTTGATTTTTGAATTATGATCTTAGTAATTGGAAAAAAACTGAAAAAATAAATGAAAATTCTAAATTTGCAATAACTAATCTGCAATAATTTGCTAAATGCACCTTACTCAAGTTTGGATTTAAAACGAAAAAATGGAAAGTTGATCAATGTTTTTTTTCAAAGACAAATCTTAAGACCTCTTAAGATAAGACAAATCTTTCATTATAATTTACTCGAAACACTTTGGTTTTATAAATAGACACTCGTTTTTGTAAATTAACAGAATTCCGTTACAATACCGAACACAGTGTCTTGGAAATACCATATACCTACAAGCGCCTTATATATAAACTTTCTACATAAGAAGATCAAAAAGGTACTCACATAAATGGAAAATATATATTTGAATACATATAAATTTATACAAACCTTTGAAAAATCTGTAACTTCATGAAATGATTTACTATAATTATAAAATGGATCATTTGTACCACGTTCAACTTCACTTTTACTACGACCAAAACGTCCACTAAATCTAAACGATTTTGGTGACAAACGAATTTTTGGAAATGAATCAACACGTTCCTGTTTCTTACTTTTTAATGTTGCTTGTATTGGTTGTTGTATAATCGGTTGTAATTGTTGTTGTTGTGGTTGTTGTTTTTGTTGATTATCATTACTAGTACCACATATAGAACCACACGTATTACTTTTTTCTGAAGTTGTTGTTGGATTTACACGATTAACGTTACTATTACTGGAATCTACATTTATGTATGAATACAAATTGAAAAATTAAAATAAAAATCGTAAAATATGAGTGAATTATTGAAAATCAAGGACAGATAAGCAATAGGATGGTGATGTACAATATTGTAATTTTTTTTTTTTAGATTTTTTAAGTGAGCCGAATGAGGCAAAAGGATATCCTCTTCTAGAGGACATTGAAGTCTCCACACGCTTGAATTGATGATTTGAATAGGAGTTCCGGAACGCCCAATACTATTATGACGAAGGACTGCTAGTATCACAGTCGCTAAAAATGTCCGCGGCTATTTCATCAATATCTCCGAAAAATTTGCACATTTCCCCAGCTTATGCTCGTAATTTTTTACTTTAATGCGGACATGTGCACTGTGGTCAGCCATGCAAATAAGTGTGGATCTGTTTGCCGAATATCAGTTCTACAAGTGCAGTAAGGCAATTCCGAAACAGAAACGAAACAGAAATAAAAACGAAACAGAATTTTGGACCTGTAGTCGAAGTTGTACCGTAGTTATTCTCAGATAACCGGGTGCCGCGTTTTCGTCAGAGAAAATTCGGTAAGTTTTTAGCCAAGGTTTCTTCACTGTATAAAGATGCAGTGGGTTGAACTTAATGATTACTTAATTATTACATACCTGTTGTTGTTGTTCCAGATCCCGTTACTAATGTTTCCGATGTTGTTATTCCCGTTATTTTTGATGGATTATTAAATTTTTCATTTTGATTATTTATTATTATATCTGATGTTGAATTAATTGTATTTATACTAATATTTGTTGATGTTAAAACATTTTTTGGTACTGTTGGTGATATTGGAGGAGGTGGTGATATTGGATTATTTAATAGAGCAGCAGCACTAAAATTATCTGATGATGTCTGTGATGAAAATATATCAGTTTTATGTATAACACGTACACCCATCTTAACAGTTGCTTTACGATGAAATTTATCATCTGTTTTATCAGCTACAAAACAAAACATTTAACAATACAAAAGGTAATTATTATTTAAAATTATAAAAATGTTAGTTATTTAAGAGATCAATTTAATTTGCCACTCATGAATTTAATTCAAACACAATATGCCTGTAAAATTATTTCATTTGAGATTCCTTTTGCGGTATTCAAGTGTTGTTGTCAAAACAAGATGTTTTTTTTGTTTTAAATAAGTACCTCATTTCACATCCTTTTTGCCTGTTGTTTTTCTTTTATGAAAATTTAAAACATAACAACAATATTTTTTATATAAAAGCTTAACACTTCAACTGAGTGGGAATTTAGTTATTTTCCCAATACAAAAAAAAAACATTTGTGTCATTTTTTTTTTATTTTAAAAAATTCAACGCAAATCAATATTTTGTCTGATTTTGACAATTTGAAAATCTTTTTTGATTGATTTATTTGACTAAATATGATATTCTTCTTAAAACTTTTATGATGTTATTTTGTAAATAAATACACATATTTTATAGATGGGGTTATTGTCAAAACAAAGTATGGTGGTAATAGTCGGCAACAATAGGAATTGTATAGGTTAAAGGTAAAATTTGTATTTTTCAAAAATATAATGATTATATATTTATGTATGTTTTTAGGAAAGAATGATTGAGAAAATTTATACGCGTTTTCTGGCTAAACTAGAAGAGATAGAGCGATTTTAAGTGTATTTTGTGATCACTAGGAACTCACAGATTCTGCCAATATATGATAATAAACTGTAGCAAAAATATTTTTGGAGATATTTGAAAAAATCGATTTAAAAACTTAAAATGCGTTTACTGGCTAAACTAGAAGAGATAGAGCGATTTTAAGTGTATTTTGTGATCACTAGGAACACACAGATTCTGCCAATATATGATAATAAGCTGTAACAAAAATATTTTTGGAGATATTTGAAAAAATTCATTTAAAAACTTTAAACGTGTTTTCTGGCTAAACTAGAAGAGAAAGAGCGATTTTAAGTGTATTTTGTGATCACTAGGAACTCACAGATTCTGCCAATATATGATAATACACTGTAGCAAAAATATTTTTGGAGATATTTGAAAAAATCGATTTAAAAACTTAAAATGCGTTTACTGGCTAAACTAGAAGAGATAGAGCGATTTTAAGTGTATTTTGTGATCACTAGGAACTCACAGATTCTGCCAATATATGATAATAGGCTGTAGCAAAAATATTTTTGGAGATATTTGAAAAAATTCATTTAAAAACTTTAAACGCGTTTTCTGGCTAAACTAGAAGAGAAAGAGCGATTCTAAATGTATTTTGTGATCACTAGCAAAAATATTTTTGGAGACATTTGAAAAAATCCATTTAAAAACTTAAAACTTTTCTGTGTTGATGAATTTTGTTTAAATTAAAATAGAATTTATCTTATTTAGTCACTGTAATTTTGTAATTTAAAATTCAACTTCACCTATTCATTCAAAATTTAAACTTTAAATTTCTTATTTTCTAGGGGTTCTAACTACTTAATCGACTTTTTGTCGTTTAGAAGGTTTTTATAACTATTAAAACGCATGATATTGCGGTGAATCTATCATACAATCATGATATTTAATAAAACTTAAATAAAATTATCAAAGCAACCAAAGGATTTTAAACAAATCATATTCAGACACAAAAATTATACAATTGTTAGGACACCGATGTACATACATACACGCATATGTATATGCATACATAATTTGATTTGATGTAAGGGTTTGCAAAAATTATTGCCGTCATTATAAGTTTATTTTCGTCATCACAAATATTATAATCTATAATATAATTTTGAAGTAAAAGAGAAACAAAAACACAAAATAAAAATCTCTTAAAAGGTTCGTGCCTTTTTATTCTTTTCTTTTTCTTTTCTTCTTATATTTTTATTTCCTTTGTTTACTTTCAATATAAATAAAATATGTGTGCGTGGATAGCTGCGATATTCTTTTCGTCCAAATTTAAATTTTATAAAAATATTTTTAATATTTAAAAAACAAGAAAAAAAATATTATTGTTATTTTGAATAGGAAAAAATTATAGCTATCATTTGAAAACAAAAGAAAGGCATAAAATATATTTTGAAAATCAGAACAAGTTATACGCATATCCTTTTAAGAATATTTTTAAAATTCAAAAAAGAAATGGTTATTTGTCTCATTGTGTCCGTTCATTCGTTCGTGCGCCAATTCGTTAATCCATTAAAAAGCTGAAATTTTATGTACAAATAGATCCCTTGCAAGAAATCTTTTCTTTGAAAGAAAATTTTTACTTAGCTACCTCCCTTTTAAAAACTATGACAACTCAACATTCAATAGATGCTTTTGTTTTTGACAGATTATTGTAACGAAACCACGAAACATATTTTTAAAATCAGAAAACGCATTAAAATAGGACATATCTGCTTCTATAGAGAAATATGCCCAAAATTAATCCATTGAACCTATTGAATTAAATCTATTTTTTTTCACATTTCTCGGATAAGTTTTTATCATATTTCGGACATACTAAGTTGTAGAAGTTTCAAATTTTTCCAGTTTTGAAACCAATGTCCCGGCGCCAAATTTATTTCCATCTTCCACCCGTTTGTCATACTTAAAATTAACAAAATTTCAATTTTGTGGCACTTTATATTTCTGAAACTGAAAGCTATTCGAGATTTTTAAAAAAATTAGGAGTTAATGGTAAATGCCCCATTGTCAGAAAAATATAATTTATAATTCTATATCTCGATTCGTCTAATGAATCATGAAATTAACGTTTTTTTAAATTTTTTGTCTTCCTCCAAAAAGTATGCAATAATTTTTTATTACATAAAATAATTCTCTTTTATGTACCTAAATGAGAACAATTTGTTTTAGGGAAAAGTGCTACTTTACCACCGGTTTAATTCGAATTTATCACTTTTATTTTGTTTTCTAAACATAAAAAAATGTGATAGATACAAGAATTAAGGAAATAGGAAATAAATAGACAAATGTAACAAAAAATAAGGAAAAAAATAAATAAGAGAACTGTTCCTAAAACAATAACAAGGATACAAAACAAAAAAAAGGATATTTCATTTGTGTAAATAAATGTTAAAAAAATATATATATCAGAGAATTGTATAAAAGTGATATTGAACACACATAGACCGTATATACACACAATCTGCACAATGCACACCATATTCAATTTTTATTTTAGAATCAATTGTGACAGGTTTTATATTTTTTTTTTCATTTTTATTATTGTTTTTCTGCTTTTAGTTTTAAGTTTTTTGCCATTGTTTTTTTTGTTGATCCTAAAAAGTTTTTTTGTTTTTTTTTTTTTTTCTAAATAAACTCAATTTAATAACATAATGGAGATTATCAAGTTTTCTGTTTTCGACCTATTTTATAAAATATCAAAATCTCCTGTATATTTTATATCTTTAGTATAGTATTCAATTGATTCACTCAAAGGATTAACTTTAATATTATTTTAGGAAATATCACTTTTATTCATGTGTGTATGCAAGGTATATGATATGAAAAATAATAGAAATTGATGTAGAAATAAAGATTAAAATAATATTATATATGGGCTGCCATTGAATACATTAAAATCGGATATATTAATAAATTTGTTTTATTGTTAAATGGAAATAATTGTAGAATGAGAATAATGTAAAATTTAAATGAGTTTATTTTAAGTGAAAACGCCTTAAATGTCATGAACTATTGAAAAAGAAAAGATTTTTTAAGAGTTTTCTATAACTCTATCAATATGATCTTATAATCATTCCCTTATAATAATTATTTTAAAATTCTTCTGATTATGATCGCTTCCAAGAATTTCTTACATTTTGCGGCAATAATATATTCGACTCTCTTCCGAATCATTTGAAAAGCAACTCTCTGGAAAAGGAATTGCATGTTCGCTTTTCTCGTCAATAATCTAAAACAAAATTACAGTCTTCTTGCTCTTATCATGCTCTATAGAATGATACAGCCATAATCTATAGCCATTATTATAACTTTTTCATTTTGATTTTCTTAATTTATTTGAACTACTAAAATTATTTAATATATACAAAAGCAATATGCAACATAATAGCAACCATTTTAAAAATTTCCGAAGATAACTTAAAAATCTCAAAATATCCCAGATTAAAATAAATAACACAAAAAAAAATGAAAAAACTTTTACTTTCCATTTGTTAAATTAAATACTTAAAATGCAATTTAAAAGTTAAATTGTTTAAAACGATTACACTTACAATATTTTTTGAACTACTTAAATACTTTTATTGTTATTAAATATTTTATTTAAATAGCTTTATGTACTTATTTTTCTAAACGTATTTTGGCTTTCAAATTAAAATTTCACTTTTTATTTTTCTGTTATATTTTTTTTTCATAACTTAAGAAGCCAGTAATAACAATTATTTTAACGAAATATATTTTAGAAAGACGTTCAATTATTGTATTTATAGTCAGTGACGTAACATGATTTTTATTGAAGAAAATTATTTTTCAATTGAAATTTTTTTCGTTTTTGTATGTTTCGGATAAAAATAAGAACGTGTTGGAAAATTTAATAAAAATAAGATCGTATTATCTTTATAAAACTTTTAATTCAGCTTTAAAGATTTTCTTTTGAACAAAGTATATTTTAATTCATTTAATAAATTCACGAGTTATTTTGAATTACGAACACAGAAGTTAAGGCTTTGCAATAATTTCTTGTAGCTCTCTGGTGTTAAGATGCACAACTAAAATAATTCTTAAAACAAAATTTAATAATCAAAATAGGAAACAATATATTTAGTGGTTTTACATCACTGTTACAACACACATAATCCATTATTACTCGTATATAAGTATTATGATTATCTGTACAAATGTTTCATTATAAATTTATTTTCTCTTAATATACACGTATATTTTAATGTATTATGGTTATTATTACTTTCTTTCATATACTAAATTTGTTATAATTTCCAAAAATATACACAC